CCCAGCTTCTCAAGCAGATGGTTTCTGACTACCACTTGACCCAGTTCCCTCACAGCAGATAAAAGGCAGCAAGGATGACAATTCCTACCCCAGGTGGGAGCAAAGGCCTGCTTCCACCATCCTTCCCTTTTCTCCAGATCCTGAGGGAAATGTATTTTTTTTTCTTCTTCATAAATACCATCGTGCTATTTAATCCCATACCAGGAATGCACCTTCCCAAAGCGTTATAACCCATATACCTACTTCCCTCATTTTGCATCCAATGTTTTGATAGTGGGAGGAGGCAGGGAGGCTGGTAGAGACTGAAGAAGGAGAGTTCTGGTGGGCAGGGCCAGCCTTAGGATCCAAGGAGTAAGCTGCTGCCTACATGGCTTGATTAAAATACCAGGCAGACCTCTTCCCAATAACATCTTCCCCTACCTGTTTCAATTCCTGAAATTCCACCATTAGTAATTTACTTCTATGGGTCTTGAAATCTTCCTACCTCCAACAGTCTGTATTAAAATGCAGATCTCTGGGACGGGGTAGCACCTTAACCTTCACCTGGCAGCTTACTGGGTCTGTCAGCTGAAGTAAACCCTGGGGAACAGAATATAGGAAGAGTGTCTAGAATAGATGAAGGAGGAAGACCAGGATGAAGCCAGGGGTTGAAGGCACAGACCTGGGAGAGAGGTGAGGAAGACAACAAGATATAATCTTATTCCTAGGGGGTGCCCTGCAGGGGTCTTAAAGTGGGATCTGTGAACTTTTTTTAATGTGAACTTTTTTTAAAATCTTGATAACAATTTCAATTTCATTGGTTTCCTGTGCAATCCTATGTATTTTATTTTGAGCATTTTAAAAACCTTACCATTCCGTTAACCAACAAACGATCACCAACTTTTGCTTATAGACTTCTAGTGAGGGAAAATAATGTCTATGGTGGTTAGTGTTTCAGACATCTATATTACAATTCTGGAAAAAGTCTGCCAACTTTGTAGATTGAAGTTAGTTATTGCTACCCTTAATCCCTTCTCCCCTAGCTCCTTCCTACTCCAGATCCTCTCAAATAACTTTGCAGAGGTTAAGGGGCCCCCATGTTGGAGAAGGGACTCTTCACTTACTAGTTGAACTAGAGGACCTTGGGGCCTCCTCCAACACCAAGCTTCTGTGACATCCCATAAACTTCAGCCACCATGTTACTCTTGAGGTCTTGACTTAGCTTTGGGGGAAGAAAACAAGTTGAAACCCAGGTATAGCAGTTATCTTCCATAGACAATGTCACTGTAGTGCCTCTGACAGGGAAAGGAACACAAGGTTTATGAGGATGTCTTTTCGGAGGCCTACACAGGCCAGCCTTCCATTTGCTCAGCAAACAGATGAGGCTCACTATCACCTGGTATGTATATTCAAGTACATAATTGTTTCCTCTCTCTCTGTGTATGTATATGCTTGCAACATACTCACAGTTTTTGCTCTCTGTCCTTCTGGCCTTCTTAACTACCCATCTCCGTCACCTTCTCCCCTACACCTTCACACATATAACTTGTCACTGCTTCAGTGAGGATTCTCTAGTGGTCTATGCAGATCACAAGGCCATTCTCATAGTGGAAGGGAGGGGGCGCTCTGTCTCCAGATTTCTGGCTACTCAAAGGTTGTTGCACAAGGTGCTTAGAGACATTTAGCAGATATATGTGGGAAGCTACCAGTTATGGTAAAGATGGGCATTTGGCTAGCCGTAGGGTGTGTGTGTGGAGTCTTTTTTTTTTGCATTTCCAATCCACATATCATACTTCCAATTTTTTATAAAGAAACCATAGGAATGCTTCCTCTGCCCTCCTTCCATTTAAAAGAGGAAAGATAGAAACTGTGACTTTGTAAAAGATGGCCAACCCAAGGCCTGCAGCTCAGCTCTGTGTCAGGCAGGTGAGAGTGTATAGGAATGGGGTGTGTCTGCTGTGGAGTACTAGGTTCAAGTGTGTGGTTTGAGGGGGTGGCAGGTGCCAGTGCCATTGATTGTATGCTATACTATTGGCATGCACCGTGATCTGTATAAAGTGTTGGAGTCAGCATATGATTATTGGGTTTGCATGTCTGCAGTTTGTACGGTTGGGGGCTTGGGAGAGGGGGAATGGAATTTGACCTGTATCTCTGAGTATTTGTTTTATTATCTTAACAGGGGTGTGGGGGAAAGCACAGAGTTACCATTTCCATTTGAGAGTGTATAAAGTACTGTGGCATACTCTGTGTTGCGTAGGTCTAAGGAGGAAAAGGAAGCAGGAAGACACATTCTGAGAATAAGATTGTAGGATTGGTGGATGTAAGTATCAAAAAATGTTTGTGCTTAAAGCTCAATATGTCCTGGTATGTGTAAGGGAAACATACCAGGAAAGGTGTTACATGATTTGTATTGTAGGAATTTTTTTGGGTGGTGGTGGTGGTGGTGGAAGAGGATGTTGGGGAAGGAGTTGGTAGCTCATGGGGGAATTTAAAGATTCAGAGGTACCCCCTTTTAGTAAGTGGTCTGATTCAGCATAGATACCCCAATCCTAGCACACCATGGGGGGGAGGTCACTGTTAATGGCCACAGAAAGTGAATGGTGTCAGCATTCTGGGGATTCCCTACCTGCTCCCAGGCTATTTCCACTTGGGCCCCTCATCTTCTCCAACCTCCTCCACCTCCACGGACCTCCTAAACGCTCCACACCAGCTAACTCCTCAGACCCGCCCCCTGCTCACACCTCGGAGATGAAGGATCACCAGCCTTTGACGCTGGAGGGCATTGCAGCCCGGAAAAGATTTGTAATTATTCCTCTTAATATAGCCTGCTTCACTCACTTAGGTGTTCTTGACAACCCTTCCCCCCATCCCCCAACCCTAGGAGAAAATTCCCAACCTCTCACTCCCAAAAAAAAGAAATTCCACTCTAATATTGTTTGCATTGCAATTTGCTATGGAATGTAGTTTTTATTTGCAATTTCCCCATCCCCCTATCTCCAGTCGTGATTTATCTGTGATTGGTGAGGGATTGAAGAGACGGCAGAGGGGCCGGTATGAGTCGTATATCGTAACAAACAAATAGAAGCTAGTAGTTTGCTACGGGTGTGCGGGGAGGGGGTGGAATGAGGGAAAGGAGTGAGCCTGGCTAAGTTGGGGGAAGGGCACGCTTTGGGGAAAGGCTTTTATGTAGTATGGGCTAACAGTGAAGGAGCAAACTGGGGTCCCTATTACCCCCGTCAGGAAGTTAAGTACACCAGCACACTGGGGTGCAAGAGGAAATAAGCGGCATAAAACAATGATACAATCATAACAAATAACGTCTTTTTTGATCTCGAAGTCCGCAGGAGTTGTTAGAGGTTGGAGTTTCCTCACGTGGTTAGAACTCCGATATAAGTTTCAAATGGAAAAAAAAAGTAGCACCATAATGGGAATGGGGAGACAAAGGGGGTGGTTTTTCCTCCCCGTTCCTCTCCTTAAAAAAAGAGAGAAGGGGGAAGAAGCAAAAGGTGTGTATGTATGTATGTATGTGTGTGTGATGTGTGTGTCTGTGTATGGGGGGGCAAACAGAAGGAACACCAACCTGAACAGCCTCTCTGCCTCCCTTCCTCCTTCTCCTCCTCTTTCTCCTCCTCCTCCTCCTCCTCGGGGGGGGTGGAGAATCAGAAGAGAGGAGAGACACCATCCACTACTGCAACGCAAAGCCTTTTTTTTTTTTTGGCCAGCGTCTATAAGCGACGCACGCATACACACCACATACAAATACACACACATACACGCACCCAAGGAGATTGTGTTGCTTCCCCCCCTACCCCGGAGAAAAAAAAGGGAGAATAAAAAGAGAGGGCAAAAGAGAAGAACTCATCTGACCGAGAGAGGATTTTCATTTCGCAGCTGCTGCATTCGGACCGAGCTCTCTCCTCTCCTCCGTCTTGCCCCCCCCCTCTCTTTCTCCCTCTCTCTGTGTATATGTGTGTGTGTGTGTGTGTGTGCGCGCGTGTGTGTATGTATGCACACACCGAGGGCATTGCGAGACTTTTAGACACCAGATCTGAAAAACACCGCCTCCGCCGCAGCGACAGGAAGAAGGGGGGAAAAATCACCACCATCATCACCATCACCATCATCACCACCAACAAATAAACGATCCAGAGGGAGAGGAGGAAGAGGAGAGGCAGAGTGAGGAAAGAGGGTCGCTCCTTGATGTGATTTTTTTTTTTTTCCTTTCTTAAAGACAACTTTGGTTGCGTGACGCGTCAAGGGAACTGCAAGGGCTAAGAGGACAGGGTGCCCGGCGCCTCCCTATAAAGCGGAGCCCAGCGAGTCACGACTCGGCAGCAGCACTGGCTGCCTCGAGGAGAAACTGTGTTTTCTTTTCCTGGGAGGGCGCTCAGGTGTGTGTCCTGGGGACCCGCTACAGCACGGAGACGGCGCTGGAACATTTTATGCCTTCCTTCTTTTCCAAGTTGAATTAAGCCCTCTCACCTCACCTTGACGACTTCGGACTAAAATATTTTTTCTTTTTCTTTATTTTTTAATTTAATTTTTTTTTGTTTTTGTTTTTAAGCGAGGACTGCGGGGGTGGTAAATCCTAAGAGAAATGAAGAGAAAGCTGCAGATTTTGATTTGCTCTGAGGGACCCAGTTGGATGTGACTCCCGTTGCTTGCCCTCTTCTCCTCCCCTTACCTCCCCTTCCAGTCCCGGGGCTGCTCCGGCCGCTGCTTCCCCTCCCTGAAGCCCCAGCCCGGTTCTCCTCTTTTCGCTTCCCTTCCCCCCTTTCCCCCGTGATCTGTTGCCTTCCTTCCATCTCACCCCCTCCCCCTTCCCCTCCCCGCCCCGGGTTCCTCCCGTGCGCGCTTTCCTTCGCTTCGCTTCTCCCCACGTCCTCCTCCCCTTCCTCCCCAAGCAAAGAACTGCCGCCGAGGCTACATACTCCCTACTCCCCACCCCAACCAGCCTTCCCCTTCCCCCACCCCCCCCCCGACCCCAGACCTCCACTCCGGGCGCTTAGCAGTCAGCGCGGGGAGGAGGACCAGAGCTTTGGGGGGCGGGGGAGGGCGCGCGTTGTATCCCCGGCTCCCTTTCTGCGCCCTCCTTGCGCACCATGGACGGGCTGCCCGGGAGGGCGCTGGGAGCCGCCTTCCTTCTGCTCCTGGTAGCTGGCTGGCTGGGTCCAGAGGCCTGGGGCTCGCCGACACCTCTGCCTTCCCCGGCCGCCCCTTCGGGAGCCGAGGGCGCCCCTCCAGATACTTGCACGTCGTGTGGCTTCAGGCGCCCAGAGGAGCCGGGCAAAGTGGACGGTGACTTCTTGGAGGCGGTGAAGCGGCACATTCTCAGCCGGCTGCAGATGCGGGGCCGCCCCAACATCACCCACGCGGTGCCCAAGGCCGCCATGGTGACCGCCCTGCGCAAGCTGCATGCGGGAAAGGTGCGGGAAGACGGCCGAATGGAGATCCCGCACCTCGACGGGCATGCCAGCTCGAGCTCAGACGGCCAGGAACAGGTGTCAGAGATCATCAGCTTCGCTGAGACAGGTGGGTGGGGACCAGCGTTGCCGCCGCACTTGGTCAGCTTCCCCCCTGGCCACTTCAGTTCTTTCTCCTTGTCCCTGCCCCTTAGCTTCCATTCCTCCCGTTTCCTCATCAGTACATCCATCCGTTTCTTCTCCAGCCTCATTTGGTGTTTTTCTGACCCCAACTCTATCTGTCTTTCCACCTGCTGCATCTCTAATTAATTCGCTCATCTGTCATCTCTCGTGCAGCCCTCCCTGTGTTCCAGCCACAATCCCTCATTTAAATGGTCAATCATTTATCATCTGTCAGGCTCATTCACCAATCTACCTTTCTTAATCATTTATCTATGTATCTATTTCACTGGCTCTCTGGCTTTCTAAGTTAGCTCTGCATTTCTATACTCCTATATCTATATCTATATCTATATCTATATATCTATTTTTTAAAAAATCGTTGCTGGGGGTCTCTCTTTCCTATAGAATTTCCTGGTCTGTCTTCACCCACCTCCTCTAAACTATATATATATAACCATTTCTACCTGTTTACTGTGCCCACTTTTCTCTGCAGTTCTTTTCATCTTCTGTATGTGAATGTCAGCTACACACATCTTTTTACTTGTCTGCTACCCCATGGTTAGTAGCGATCTGGCCCTGTCTATCTGTACACTTGCTCACTGATTGCTTAATGTTTGTGTTTCTTATGATTGGAAGATAGGCTTACAGTGGGATATATAGTCTTGTTGACATACATGGATGGTATGATTGCATATCATCCATGAATACTAGTATTCCTAGAGTCTGGGTTGTAATTGCAAGAGGTGTGTATAGTTGCGCTGATAACACACTATAGTTACTCATAGAATTATAAAACGGCTTCGTTTAAATACATTTTTAACAGGTCCCATAATTTATATAGGTAAAGATGCATCCATAAATAAATACATGTCAATAGCAAAGGCATAAATACTACCCAATCAGCACCTGCATTGCAGGGGGTATGTGGGGATACCTCTTGGCTAGAATACAGTTATTTTGCTGTTAAAGGGCAAGGGGCCTTTCTGATGTTTTTTTGTTTTTGTTTTTTTGCTTGGGATCCCAGGTTTTTTAACTGACTATATGTAAAAATCAAGGAAGAAAGTACTTCAGAACATTAAAAGAAAAAGAGGAAGAAGGCCCTTCTATGAAAGTAGCTCTGGCTCTGCTGTCTTTTTTCAGGACACGAATGATGTTGGTTTGCTTTTGTGCCACCCTTTAGATCATATTTATACAGAGAGTACTTCCAGAGGAAGCAGATGAGAGATGTATTGTAACAGGAAGGCAGTTAAGTAAACCTAAATGGGATCTCTCAGAAATAGAAATGAATATTTTGCAAATAAGCAGCCAGAATCTGTTTGAGATTTTTTTGGGGGGGGCACTCAGGGATTAAAAAGTTTTGCATAAACATGAATAGAAAAAAAATAAGAAAAATCACTGAGAGGGTAACCATTTGGAAATACAGGGCTCTCTCTGCCATCTGCAGTAGTAATTGAAAGTATGATGCATAATTAGAGAACCTAGTTTAAAAGGAGCTTTGGGGCCCAAGGTGGAGATGTTATCTATCCCCTTTGCCATGAAACGTTAATCCTGATAGCACAAAAGGACAGTAGGGGTTATGATATTTCTGGTCCATTCCGCAGAATGGACCTTTTGGGTTATAAATAACATATTCCGGTCACAGGCAGTTCATCCAGTATCAGCTTTTAAGACTGCAGCTTTCCCGGTTTCTAACGGTGGATGTCAGTGTTATTAAAGAAGCAAGTCAGGGAAAGTGGAGAGGACTGGGGGCAGGGGAAAGGGGTGGGGGGGTGGTATATGTGATAATGCTGTACAGTTGCTACACAATTGCTTCATTTGTCCTTACTGCAAAAAAAAAAAAAAAAGTAAAAAAAAAAAAGATAGAAGCCATCAGAGGGGAAAAGTAACTGAAATGCAGTATGGGAGAGGAGTTACCTATCAGTTGGCACAGCCCTTTTCTCAGAGCTGAATTATTGAGAAAACTAACAAACCAGCCTTCTCTTCCCTAGAGACTTTGAGCATATCTATTACCTGGGAGTCAGGGTCTGGCCAAAGCACTGGACCAGAGTTTTCAAGGCTGAATTGTCCTCTTCCCTAAAACTGATCTGAAATGAGGACTGTAGCTTATAGCTCAAGAAACACACATTCCAAGTGTTTGAAAATCAGAGCAGAGATGGTTTGTTTGCTGTGGAGGTTTCACCAGGTATTGGATCATGCTTAGGTAAACAGACTCTAGTGAAAAGAGGAGGTAGCTGAGGTCTGTTTTGCAATGCCCTAACTTTAAAAAAAAAAAAAAAGAAGAAAGCCAACCCACCCAAAGAACCTCCGTGCAATCCCGGTTTTGTTTTTCAGATTTCACAGATACCCATCACAACTTGTTAAGATCTTGGCATCTTTACAAGTTCCTCTGTTTAGCTTTGAGGCCTGACAATCTGTCTCCAGGGATCCCTGGCCCCAGAGAGGTGAGGCAGGATTTTATAGGCCTGGACCCTCTAGCTCTAACCTGATCCGAATTTCTCAATGGGAAATTATTTTTTCTGTCTCTCCCAGGATACATTTAGAGATGCTGGGGCTTGGGAACAGTATTTCTGGTCACTAACTTTTTCCAGCTGTTTGGTGAACATGCATTCTAGCATCATTCAGGAAAAAAAAAAGTTGTCCGAATTTCCCCCGTTTGCCTCATCTTCTTGGATTAATTTAGTATGTTTTCCCCTTCTCCACAGATGACCTTGCCTCCTCCAGAGTCCGCCTGTATTTCTTTATCTCCAACGAGGGCAACCAAAATCTGTTTGTGGTGCAGGCCAGCCTGTGGTTATACTTGAAATTGCTCCCTTACGTCCTTGAGAAAGGCACCCGACGGAAAGTCCGGGTCAAAGTGTACTTCCAGGACCTGGACCGAAGTGACAAGTGGAATGTGGTGGAGAAGAAGGTAGACCTCAAGAGAAGTGGCTGGCACACTTTCCCTCTGACTGAGGCAATTCAGTCCCTGTTTGAGAAAGGGGAGAGGAGGCTGAACCTGGAACTCCAGTGTGAGGGCTGTGAAGAGCTTGCTGTGGTCCCTGTCTTTGTGGACCCCGGGGAAGAATCTCACCGACCCTTCTTGGTAGTGCAGGCCAGACTGGCGGACAACAAGCACCGGATCCGAAAAAGGGGACTGGAATGTGACGGCAGGACCAATCTCTGTTGCAGGCAACAGTTTTTTATTGACTTCCGACTCATTGGGTGGAATGACTGGATCATTGCGCCCACGGGTTACTATGGGAATTACTGTGAAGGGAGCTGCCCGGCCTACTTGGCCGGAGTCCCAGGGTCAGCTTCCTCTTTTCACACCGCTGTGGTGAATCAGTACCGAATGCGAGGGCTGAACCCAGGGACCGTGAACTCCTGTTGCATTCCAACCAAACTCAGCACAATGTCAATGCTGTACTTTGACGATGAATACAACATTGTGAAGAGGGACGTCCCCAATATGATTGTGGAAGAATGTGGCTGCGCTTGATCTAAGGGGCGGGGAGCTGGGGTGGGGGGAGGACATTCCCAGACTAGATCCTTGCAGACATCGGCGCTGACAGGAGTCACTGTGGAGAGCGGGGCATGGCCATCTCACCCGGGTGCAAAGATGGTGCCGGCTTACGAATCTTGGACATATAAATCTGGCCACTGCTTGAAAAATAGAGAACCCGTGAATGAAATGAAATACCTTAGAATGCACACGTACACACACAGACACACATACACACAGCCACCCACTGAGCAGCTTCCAGAATACTAGCAAATGGATACAGTGACAAATGGCAGCCTATCTAAAAACGCCTGTCAGTCCGAGCGAATGGGTAAGCAGCCGCTCTTCCCACCAGCTGTCCAAGCTGAACTGAAATGAGTTCTCTATGCTCACATAAAAGCACAAAGAGAGAGCGCTTGAGGACGATGGGGAGCCAGGGAATGAGGCGGGGGTTGGGGGGTGCAGTATGAGCTCTGTTTTCCTATGTGTTGCTGTAAGAGTGACTGTCACCTTGTAAGGCTCTACCTGCTACTGAAGGTGATGGCTTCCTCTCACATTTCAGGCTCAGTGATGTTGAGAATCACAGATACGCATCTCTTCCTGCAGCCCTTCCAGAAAAAAAGAGAGGGAGGCTCTGAGAGAAAACAGTCAGGCAGAGACAGTCATGCAGAGGCAAAAAACAGTGTGACTTGCGCTGTTCCCTGACTTGTCATCCAGATGAGATTGAGGGGTGGGGGTGGAGAGGGGACTTGGGGGGTGGTGGTGGGGAGACACATTATTTGATGCTTTAACTGATCACAGAAGGAGTTCATAGATCAATATGCCAGTTGTGTAAAACTGAAAAGGGGCTTTTTCTCCCTGGTCTAACCTTCAGTTGAAAATCTGAACTGTTCCAAGTGGGGGTAAAAATTCCAAGTTGCAGTCTGTATTCTTGTATGGGGCCTTTCTCCAGGACCGGTCGGGGTTGGGCAAACAAGCCCTCTGTGGCCCATGAACCTAGCAGTGGTCCCCCAAAGTGGAAGTGACATGATGGATGGATGCATGCATGATCAGAGCACCCAGTGTTTCACCTAGTATCTGCAAAGCAGCAGAGTTTTCACTGGTCTTGGAAAGGAGGAGGATGAATGCTTTCGGTTTCCTCACCAGGAGATGTCTACCATGGCCAAGAAGTTCAGAAAACACCAGTCCAGCATAGCACTTGCAAAATACCTTGAAGGCCCACTCTGTAGCAGTTGCTGATCTCCATCCATGTCTTCAGAAGTGGTACTTGACAGTGCATTTACTGTGGCTTGCTATCTAGTTAAACAAGTGCCACATGAGCTATGCAATTTAAAGTGTTGACCCATATTAGATGAAACTGGACTTAAAATAATGACTTTTTATATTTTTTTATACTTGAAATGAAATCTTTTGCTTCTTTTTTAAGCGAATGATTGCTTTTAATGTTTGCACTGATTTAGTTGCATGATTAGTCAAAAACTGCCATTTGAAAAAAAAAGTTATTTTTATAGCAGCAAAAATGAATACAGTTAAATGTATTATACATAATTTTGGAACCAAAGAGGCCAACATATTAGTTATGATTTTTATTAGATGGCTAGGCCATCACATAGGATGTAGACATTTTGAGCAATCCCTTGGGTGGCCTGCCAATTATTTCAGGGTACAAATGGATTTCGTTTATTCAGTTCAATGTTTTTTTTTTCTATACCATACGCACACAGAATGTAGAAAGAAGATGTCAACTATAGAATGGAGAAGTGCATCTTTACATCCCCAGTTTTGTGTTTATTTAATAAAGTTCCTTTTAGGTTCTGTTTCATAATAATTTAAAACCAAACAATTTTCACATAGATTTGCTGTTAAAGTATTTTGCATTTGTGTACAGTTTAAGTAAATAAAAAAAAAGCAAGATTGAGAATACTGTTCTTGCAGCATATAATGTTCGGGGAAGTTTAGCTCTAAAAATTGATACATTGGGTAGGGAAAAGCTAAATACAAAAGTATTTGACCTAAGTCCTCACCTCACATTGTGTGTTCTCTACCTTATTTTGGCTTTTTACCATTAATACGAATTGCTGTCAGGGAGACTGTTGTCTATAGTTTGTGAAGAACACTAGACAAATTATGTATTTATTTGAAGTTCTCTTCCCATGGCTAATTATCATCTGCATTGAAAGTGTTGCTCAAGTCTGGTGCCCTGACATAAAATCTTAGGCTTAGGAAATTCAAACACACTTTAAAAAATGTATATAGATTTTCATTTATATCGGATAGTGATCCAGGCAAAACCACTTATACAAATTAGTTTTGGGGGTAGAAATATAAACAGAAACATCATTTCTGCATATTTTCTACAAATTTCCTTGTTCTCTATTATTAACTAAGTCTGTAACTAACATAGTATTAAGTCTTTAGTCAGGTCATATCCCTGGTTATTTGTCCTAAGTGACTGCTGCAGTACGGTTTTTGGTCTCATGTTGGTTTGGAAATAGGCAATCTGTTCTTTGAGCTATAGACTGTCAGAGCTCAGAGGGCTCTTATGGATCACCTAGGTCTACCCTCTCTGAGAGGTGACTTGAACTTGCTTTAAAGCCATGTAGTTAGTGAGCAGCAGGGTCAGTCCTTGGGCCCAGACTCCCGATTCTCACTCCAGTGCCTGATGCTGCCATATAGCTCATTGGGAGCAAAGTCCAGGCTCTGTAGCTCCTTGCATTCAGAGGACCAACTGAGCATCACTTTATGAACCCAAAGAATAGAAATCAATTTTATTCAGAAGCCTTTCCTTGTTATCTTCCATCTCCCATCCAAGAATTCTGTCTTTGCTTAAGTTACTGTTCTATTTTTGGAATACCAGTGAAAACCTGGGCTCCTGTTAATTAGGTCAATCAGTGGAATACCCTCACCCTGATACCATAAGGTCTGGAGTTAGGGCCTGAAATATTTCATTTCTTGCCTAAGACTACTTTTCCTTTTATTCCTCTTTGGTCTCTCCTCTCTCACTGTTTTCCTTCCTTTTCGTTTGCTTTTGTTATTGTTTGTTGTTGAGTTGTTTCACTCTTGTCTGACTCTATGACTCCACTTTTTGGGTTATCTTGGCAAAGATACTGCAGTGATTTGCTACTTTCTTTTCTAGTTCATTTTACAGATGAGGAACTGAGACAAGCAGGGTTAAGTGACTTGCCTAGGGTCACACAGCTAATAAATGTCTGAGGTTGGATTTGGACTAGGGTCCTCCAGATTTGAATTCCAGGCCAATACTTTGTCCACTGCACCACCTAGCTGCCCCATATCCTCTTTCAAACCAAGCTCTGTATGTGTGTGTGTGTGTGAGGAAGAGTGAGTGAGTATATCCACATGCACAAGGCAGCTAGTCCTCAGGGGTTAAGCTGAGGTCTCTCCCACATCAGGATAGCACTTCAAAAGGTCAGTCATCCCCCTTATTCCTACCTCCACAGAGAAGCAGAGTTAAGCTGCCTCAAGTAAGTAAGAGTCTCACAGCCTCTGTATTAGGGGGGTTGGTCATGTTTTCTATCTACCCAAGTCCCTTTTGCTACAGGTGAAGCCCATTTCCTTTTGTTTTGCGTTTAGTGGAGACATTACAATTCACTGGTCTTTGTAGACTACTTCAATGGGCCAGTGAATCTGTAACCTCACTGATAAGATATTCCTACCAACTTTTGGACTATAAGGGGATCCCCTTCCCGCTAAAACACTGATAGTTACAGGACTGAACTATTACATGTAGAAGAGGCACAGTCTCTAGATTTGCTGAAAACTGATGGATGCTAGCCAACCCATCAATCAAGTATTTATTGACAAGTATTGTGTGCCAGGCCCTGTGTAGGGCACTGTGGGTGGTTCAAAGATGAATAAGGCATGTTGATAGGCATGTGCCATAGTACATTAGCCATGGCCTGTTCTATGTCATAGAAACAGTATTAATAAAACTATAGCAGTAGCATAAGAAGTGAGAGGGATGAAGTTCTGTTAAAAAATGGGTCCTGGGGGCAGCTAGGTGGCACAGAGGTTAGAGCATCAGCTCTGGAGTCAGGAGGACCCAAGTTCAAATCCAGCCTCAGACACGTAACACTGACTAGCTGTGTGACTCTGGGCAAGTCACTTAACCCCAATTGCCTCACCAAAAAAAATGCGTCCTGTTTAATCAGGCCAGGTCTTCAATGACAAACTAAAGTTAGCGATCTACCTGCATTTTCTTCAGCCTTTATCAAAGATTTGTTCTCCGGCTTTTATTCTTCCTCTACCCCATCCAGGAGGAAGAGATGGTCACCTATATAACCTGCTTTGAAGAATGCCAGAAGAACCCCACTATGTCACAATATCTCTCCAAACCTAGGTGCTTGGGTGCCGAAGTTTCCACTATTTGAGGTTTATTTGTTGCCTTCTTTAGGCCCTGTTTATGAACACAAATTTCCTTATTAAAGAAAGTCCCTTTTGCTTTAGAGTGACTGAATACTCGGTCAGATAGGACCAGCAGAGCCCCAGGCTCTGGGTGCAGTGATGAAGGAGAAAAGAGCCCAGACAGGCACAATGGGAGTGTAGGATAGACTTTGCTGACTTCCCATTGCATCACATTTCTGTGACAAAGCTCTCCTCTGATCTACACAGATCACTCCCTTCCCTGAACCCCTTTTGCCCTTATTTGTCCTCTAATTGTAGTATGCATGCATTAGTTTGGTTTCCACAGCTAGAATATAAATTCCATAGAAGGCTGGCCTTAGGGAAGTCACTTCAGTTTCCCCCAGAGAGCCATGGAGATAACAGTATTTACACTACCTACCTCATTGGGTGGTTGTGAGGATTGAATAACAGTTAACAAGAATAGGCAGTAGATAGAGTACTGTACTTCAAGTTATGAAGGCTTCTTGAGTTGGAATTTCTCCTTGGACACTTGCTGTTTGACCCTGTGCAAATCTCTCTAAGTGGTGAGAGTAACCCCTACTTCCCAGAGTTGCTGTAGAGATCAGATAATATATGTTCGGTACTTTGCAAACCTGGAAGTGCTATGTATAAATGCTACCTCTTAGGGTCAAAGAAAATACTATATGTAAAGTCCCAGAGTACTTGTATTTTTGTGTAAGGATTTGAATCCTGGTTCTGCTACTTACTAGTTCGTCTTGGGTCCTCTTCTCTCTGGTCTCTGTTGGTGATCTTGTGACCATCTCTCATGGGTGGTATTAGTTTGTTGTTATTTCCAGTCATTTTTGACTCTCTGTGACCCAATTTGGGGTTTTCTTGGCAAAGATAGTGGAGTGGTTTGCTATTTCCTTCTCCAGCTCATTTTACAGATGAGGAACTAAAGCAAACAGAGTTAAGTGACTTGCCCAGAGTCACAGAGCTGGTAAGTGTTTGGGAGGGATTTGAACTCAGGAAGATGAATGAGTCTTCCAGATTCCAGGCCCAGTGCTCTATCCACTGCCCTACCTAGCAGCCCATCAGTCATCTTTATGCAAATGACTCCCAGCCCTTGTCTCTCTCCTGAATGCCAGTCCTGAATTAACACTTAAATAATCTTAAAGCATTATTTCCCTGCCCAAGAAACTCCAGTGGCTTCCTCCCACCCCTGGCATATAAGATAAACTCCTCTGTTCTATCCTCCCTTTGGAGGCTTCAGACCCTCTGCTTTCTAGGCAACCTGGCCCTATACAAGCCATTCCATCTTCTGTCTCTGTCCCTGGAAGGTACTCCCTCCTTGCCTCAGATT